GCTGGACTCCCACATGGCCAGCCACAGTTTGAGTACTGGACCCAGTGGCTTGAAAATCACATCGGATATGTGTGTGTGTGCCCAAAAATCCTAGGAGGAGAATGGAGAAGAAGGGATTGTGGTGTGGCCATCCCCCTCTCCCATCCTTCCCTCTCACTGTCTTTGTCTCTCTTTCTCTCCAGCAATCACAAGTGCCCTAAGGCAAAAACCTCTACAAAAAAATAATAACATAATAAAAATATTCATAACATGCCTACATGTCAGAGAGAGAGAGAAGTGCTCTTGACAAGATCTGGTCATACTGTGATCCCCTTTCCTCAGCCCTCCAGTTCCTCAGGATCTTGGGCACACACGTACCCAGCATGTTTCAGGCCAACTCAGGGATCTAACCCATGGTCAACCATGTGGCTTCCAGCATTGCAGTTCAGTTTGGTATTGACTGGCCACAAGGCTGGGCCTTCTATGAACTTTCTGAAGACCCTTGGTATGACTTGCCTCAGAAGTCACTCAGCCTCACTGTAGCTGCATCCTGTGGTCCAAAGCAGGTCACAGAGTCAGCCCAGATCCTCCCCAGGACAGCAGCACCTCCCCCCACCCCCCGCAGACTGAATACCAGGAGACATTTTTTCTTCACAGTGGTGCACCTCTCCAAAGACTAGCTACCAGATTTCTCATTTGTTGAAATTTCTGTCCCTTCCTCTGCTCCTTGTCATGGAGATATCTTAATATCACTGTCTTATATCTTTAGATCCACATTTTTATTCTACTTGTTTATGATAAAAGAGTTTGAAAGACTTTTTAAAGAAATCTTAGACACGTTCTCAAGTGAATCTTAAAAATGTATTTTTATTTAGCGAGAGTAAACTTAAGCATCCAGGGGCCCGACAGTGGTGTAGCCATAACACAATACTCTGCCGTGCTCAACTCTCATGGTCCCAGGTTTGCGTCCTGAGGCTTCCCTGTACCCTCCGGGTACACACAGGCTGGCTGGGGTGGATTACAGAGTGAAGACCCAGTTGGGGTGGCTCTCACTTGCTCTTTCACCCTTCGTGTGTGTGTGCATGTGCGTGTGTGTGTGTGCATCACTGAAAAAAAGCAAAGCAAAAATGAAGTGTCTCAAACACCCTATAGAAAACCTGCATGACATGTTATTTCTGAGCGTCTCTTTGGGAAATCAGATTTGATTCACTTTTAACCCACGATGATAACATATCAAGCTTACAAGACAGATCAGTTTTAGGGGAAAGTGATCTGCCATCATGTGCGGGTGTCCTTGGGTGAACTCCCCAATGATATTGTTTTTCATGCTTAACCACTGATTAGAAAACCTGTTCTCTTGTGTGCACGGAACCGTGGTTTGCTTTCTGGTTGGACTTTTTGTGTTTTTAAACTTATGTTCAAGCTTTTACCTAAGGCAAAGCTTGTTCTTTTATAACCATCAAAATCAAAATATTTGACGAGAGAGAAAACTTGAATCTAAACGATGCGTTGCTTAATTCCATGGCAGTTTCAGGAATTCTCTTTTGAAAAACTTGCACCTATAGATGGCTTAGCTTCTGCAGATGCCCTGGAGGACTAAGTCCTTCTAGAGAGTTACCAGCATTTTCTAAGCAGCTCTGTCTCCAAAGCTGTTCTCTGGGCATGAAGACGAACAACACAGTGGGAGAAAGTGAGAAGATGGAGATGGTGAACAATTTGATTTCGTTTTTCAACCCACAAGCCTTGGAAAAATGGTGCCATGAAAGATTAATTTGCTCATGTGATTTCATTGTGATTGCTATTTAAGAGAAAAGTAACAGGAACAGCAGGACAGAATGAGTCCTAACTCCAGAGAAAAGAGTCTTTGACTCTGAGTGAGGTTTGATATTTCTTTTGCACAGGGTTGTTTTTACTTTTTTTTTTTTTTTTTTAGATTATTTTGCCATAGGGCAAGTGTGTGCGCCAGAGAGAGACAGAGAGAGTGAGAAAGTAAGAAATCACCCTCCCAGCAGGGATGGCCACACACTGAGTCCCTTCTCCTCTCTTTTCTTCTTTGGATTTCAGGTATACATGCACATGCGCCTGGTGTGTTTTTCAAGGCTCCCAGCCTGGGATTCGAACCATGAAGTTGGCCATGTGGGATCTAGTGCCTTAACCACTGTATCATCTGCTGGGCACACACAGAACTTTTAAAAAAGAACTATTTATTTAATTTTATGTATTTTATTATTATTTAAAATTTCTATCAACGTGTGCTTTCAAGAGACAGACAGAGAGAGAGGGAAAGTGAGAAAGCAAGCCACCAGGCCAGGGACTTGAACTACAATCAGCCATGTGGGAGTCCAGCGCCTTCACCACCACGCCACCTGCTGGCCTCCCCACACACAGATTTTTTTTTTTAAGAGGTTTTTTTCTTAGGGCACATGTGCTCACTAGAGAGAAAAACAGAGACAGTGAGAGGGAGAGTAAGACATCACCCTCGGGAGATGGCCATGCCAGAATCCCTCCTCCTCCATTCTCCTCCCAGAATCTTGGGCATGCATGCACACATGCCCAGCATGATTTTGAAGCCACCGGTCTGGGACCCGAACTGCAGTCGGCCATGTGGAAGTCCAGCAACATAACCATCTGTTGGGCCCTGCACAGGATTTTATATAGACATCTGAAAGCTGATTCTGCAAAATGACAGCTAGTAATCACAATCTGTCGTAATTTGTGTTCATGTGAGAAAAGATTTTATTAAAAAAATCTTACTTGTTCTGTTAATTGCCAAAAATTTTTTCTATTTATGCAGTATACTGTGTTTTGGCATACATATATGTTGTGAAGTGATTACCACTATTGAAGTCATTAATGTATTGATCACCTTACATAGTGACCATGTTTTCACTTTTTTTTCAAGAACATTTAAAATCTGCTCTCCTAGCAAATGTCAAGTAGACAGTACAGTAGTATTACCAGTTGTTAACTGTGGTCATCATGCTGAACGTCAAGTCTCCAAAATTCATTCTTCCTCACTGTAACTTTCTACCCACAACCAGTCTCTCCCCATCCCACTTTCAACTATCCTTTCCACCCTTCAGGAACCACACTATTCGACTCTGTACTGATACAAGACTGACTTTTTTAGAATCCACATACTGGCGGACCACGAAAAGTTTGTGGAAAATATGTATTATGAAAAACACTATATATGAATTTCAGTTTTTTTGTACCAAAATAAACTCATACTTTAATTCTATTTTCTTTCTTTTCTTCTTTCTTTCTCTTTCTAAAACCTTCTTTTTCTTTTCTTTCTTTCTCTTCTCTTTTCTTCTTTCTTTCTTTCTTTCTTTTCTTTCTTTCTTTCTTTCTTTCTTTCTTTCTTTTTCTTTCTTTCTTTCTTTCTTTCTTTCTTTCTTTCTTTCTTTCTTTCTTTCTTTCTTTCTTTCTTTCTTTCTTTCTTTCTTTCTCCTTCCCTCCTTTCTCCTCTTTCCTTCTTCTCTCCTTCCTTCCTTCCTTCTCTCCTTCCTTCCTTCCTTCCTTCCTTTCCTTCTCTTTAAAGATTTTGCCATAGGGTATATGTACTCACCAGAAAGAGACAGAGAGGGACAAAAGGAAAATGAGAAACCACCCCTCAAGGGGGAATGGCCACTCTGCAATCCCTTCTCCTTCATTCTCCTCCTGAGATTTTGGGCATGTCTGCACATGCACCCAGTGTGATTTTTGAGCTGCCAGGTCCAGGATTTGAACTGCAGTGGGCCATGTAGGAATCTAGTGTCTTACTCACCATGCCACTTGCTGACCCATGTTAAGTCCATTTTCCATGAACTTTTCAGAGTCCTTTTGTGAGATTATGTGGTATTTTTTTATTCTGTGCCTGGCTTATTTAATTCAGCGTAACATCCTCCAAGTTGATCCAAGTTGTCACAAATGGCAGATCTCATTTGTTTTTAAGGCTGAATTCTATTCTGTTTATATGTGTATAAACACACACACACAGACACACACTCATACATACTCTTTATCAGTTTATCCATCAGTGGACAGTAAAGTTGGTTTTAGGATGACCTTTTAGACTCACTCTTTCTCCCAGGCACAAATTTTCATTTTCCCATATAAGTTATTAGAAAACAGCATGGTGCACTGTTGGTGGTTTCCTTCCACATCTCCATTCTTCTGCTTGGGATCAAGCCGATTAAATGGGGGCTTGCCCCAGAAGTTTACCAGCGTGGAGGGTTCCCCTTCCCAGTCTCTAATTCCTCAGTTCTACCAGGAGGAAGAAGGGCTTTAGTTCAAGCACCATTTTCTATGAAGCTAAATCCCCTCAACAAAGATTTCCCTTGAACAAACAGTAGGCCAAATCTGAGAACCTTTTGAGCTCACTTCCTCCCATCACCCCCATCAAGGTTCAGCTCAAGGCTACTCTTAGTCATGCCAACTATTAATGGTAACACATGAACCAACCTGCAAAAAATAAAAGAAAGGGGGCTGGGAGGGGACAGTGAAACCAGAGTGGGCAGATGAGTTCTTGCTCATTATATCATTAATTTTCACATCTTTTCCCTTGAAGTCATATTACTCTCCTTTTGCAAATGAGGACACCCAAAGCCAAGAGTTTAAATCGCTTGCTTTCATATACTTAACTCAAGTAAATATTCAAACTAAAGTCCAAGGGGTCTTCAAAGGATATATGGGAAAATGGAATTAAAGTGTGAGTTTATTTTGGTGCAAAAAAAAATTGGAAACTCATGCATATCTTCATAATGTGCATTTTCTGCAAATTCTTTGAAGAGTCCTTATATTTAAACTAAATATAATCTAAGAATTTTATTTGATCTTTGGGAAATGGGAAGGCTTTCTGTTCAGCTCTCTGATAGCCAGCTTCGTGTTCACTTGACCACCCCATACCCCACCCCCCAAGAAACCTTGGGTAATTGGTAATGTACCTATGAAGTCAAACGGGGAAGCGTTCATCAGGTGAGCCTGTGGCACTTAGTCAAGTAACGATAGTTGTCACTCTCTCTTGTTTAATCTTATAGTGGAGTACGACAAGGAGTTCTCCCCTCGCCAGCGACACCACAAAGAGTTCAAGTTCAACTTATCCCAGATTCCTGAGGGTGAGGCGGTGACGGCGGCAGAATTCCGCATCTACAAGGACTGTGTTGTGGGGAGTTTTAAAAACCAAACTTTTCTTATCAGCATTTACCAAGTCTTACAGGAGCATCAGCACAGGTATGAAGGCTCGAGGAAGCCCCCAAGGTGGGACTGGCCCCATTTCTCACCCTCTATCATCACGTGAACCCAAGTGTGTCTGTGGAAGGTGATTGAAGTTCAGCCTATGAACATGATCTGAGGCGGGTGTTCTGGATAGTAGCATTTAGCTGGCAAGACCTTTCAGCTTTTGTTTCCTGAGCAAGCCAGGGAGTGGTGTTTACCAAGAACCCATTGTGATTAGACCATCGTATAATATATTGGGGATAAATAATTGGCCAATATTGTTTAGCCCTCACTTTAAATGATGGGTGGCTAAAAGAAATTCACACGTTAAAATAATATAAGAATGCTTCTAAGTGATGCTAACTCAGGGGAAGACAAGGCTCTGTGTTTGCACATGTAATATATACATGCACATGTTTCTCTTTGAGTAAGGTGTGTATAATGTATTTTTTATTATTTGGATCACAAGGGATAATAGGCTTTATTCCATATGTCTATTTTATTCTCATTTCATGAAGTGAGTCCCATATTATTTTACAAAAGAGCAGCAATGGCATGTGGTCATGGGGCCATTGCTAGGTTAGAAGAGCTGAGGGATGATGTCTTATCACAGTTAGTTCAGACGTGTAGTATACAGGAAAAACAACGGCCTTGAATTTTGCTTAGTATGTAGAGATCAGGTTAGTAATTTGGGAAGAGTCAGGCACCTGTTGTACAGAAAGGTAGCATTGCAGCATAGCTTCCATTGTTTCAGATAGAAATTAAGCAGGTGATATGACAATCTGGTAAGCTCAAAGATAAAAATTAAAGCAAGAGAATGTATGGCAGAGGGAATCTCATATAGGCCCCGTGATGGATTTGACAGCTTTTTAAAATTATTTATTTTAATTTTGTTTATTATTATTATTTTAACATTAATTAATTAATTGATTAATTAATTATTTTTAATTTGACCAGAGAGGGACAGAGTGAGAGAAAGAGAGAGGGAAAGTGAGAGAGAAAGCCACTAAGTCCAGGACTAGAACCATGGTCAGCCATGTGGGAGTCCAGCGCCCTTAACCTCCATGCCACTTGCTGGGCCCATTATTATTATGTTTAAATTTGCTATAGGGCATGCATACTCACCAGAGAGTAACGGGGCGGGGTGGGGGAGTGAGAAAGCAAGCCGCCACGTGAGGGGCCGGAACCATGATCAGCCATGTGAGAATCCAGTGCCTCAACCACCATGCCACTTGTTGGCCTGACAGCTTTGGTTTTTTAACCAAGTCCAGATTTTTGCTTTTGGTCCTGGAAATCTATTGTCTTCCCCCAAATGTTCAAGGGCTTAGGAATGACTTTGGCTCCTCCTGAATTTATTGATCTCTGTGTTGATCTGTTATAAATATGCACACTAAAGTCATAAGAAACATTAGGTCTGGAAGTACTGCTAGTATCTGGGCCTTGTGCATATCAAGTCTGGAATGCGGGAAACAGAGAAGGAAGGACAGATGCCATGGTATTGAACCTATACACTGACGGGCGCCAGGGAATTCTTAGCTCAGGTAGTTAAATAATGAGTAAAATGCAGCCATTGTGTTTATCTTTCCAATGGACCAACATTTCAGAATGAAAGGAAAATTTTCTGATCTCTGATTTTTCACTCCTAAACAAAAGTATATGCAATGGATTTACTGCTGAGAGCCTCTTAAAAAGTAAATTATTTAGTGCTAAATGTTTATCATTGGACACTTCAGAGCGGATTGGTATTCAGTAATTCTTTGGAACTGCTTGAGCCATTGTTTCTCAGTCTGCATCATTATTCCTTCCATTATAGTTCACTGCTGGAAATCACCTGTGGGTACCTTTTTGGCTCAGAATTTTATTTAGAATACATAATTTCCTCTGTCCTGCAGGGAAATGCTTTGTAGTGCAACACTAGGCTGGGAGTTTTCAAAAGTTATTATTTTCTAAAAAATAAAAGAGGGAGCAGGCAGAACATTGGTCAGACTGATGCTGAGCCCCAGCCAGGAAAGAACAGCTGTCTTGTGCTTCAGATGGTGCTTTCATCCTTCCTTGGGGCCAGTAGTGAGTTTGGGAAAGAAAATCTCAAACAGTCCCAAGCTTTGATGACTGACTATCAAAGCGGAAGTTTGTAGTCTCTGCCGCCTGGAATAGGAGCTTTGGGTGGTTGGATGTGTTTCATTTTGCCTAAGAGAGGGGAAATCCTGGGAGAATTAGGAAAATTTTGAAGGGTTCCAGGTTGGCCAGCAGGAGATTTTCTTTCCTTATCTGTGGGCCCAGAGCCCAGGCCTCCTGCCGCCTGCTAATGTAACTCCTGAGGCCCTCAGGCTTAACTGCAGAGCTCCTCCCTGGGAAGGGTTTGATCTCCCCATCTGTGCCGTCTTGGGGTGTCTTGGCTGAAAACCGTTCTGTAGGCTTGAGAAAAATCTTATTTGTCTAATCTATGCTTAAGTGAAATTTGTAGTATTTGATGGATTCCCTTAATTTAACAAATGTTTGTGTTGCAAAATAGTTGGCCTCTTTGAAAAAAAGGGGGGAAAAAGCCAGGTTTTTCAATGCTGAGTCATACCCTCAGCTAAAGCAAAAATGATGTGTTGAGCCTTCTGATCTCAAAGGCAATTAGGAAACCTGATCCAGGCAGGGTCAGAAAAGATTCTTGGAAGTTAGGCCCTTGCTGTAGAGACATATTCTTTGACTGATAAGAAATCATTGGACCAGGTAAGTTTAGAGGGAAAAAAAAGTGGCCACTTGAATAAATGGTGCTTTTAGCAAGAACAGAGAACACTTGATACTTTACTCAAAACTTGAGAGTAAGCTCTTAGATCAAATCTAAGTCATGAAAACACCTGAAAGAACTCCTAGATTGCAGTAGGATTTGCAACCCAGTAGTCTACATTCTTGAGTCCAAGTAGTACAGATGTCCTTTGCAATTCATTTGTTTTTGTTTTTGTTTTGTTTTTAGCACTCACTCTATGATATTGTGTGGTATTTACATTTTAAAATGAGTTTGGTGTGAAACTTAGATGTTATATCCTTAGGGTGACACTGGTAAAAAATTTGTATTTGTACACAGTACTTGCAGTTCGAAAAAGATCTTCTCTTTTATTCTTTCATGAGGATTTTTCCATGACTCCATCAGATGGACAGAGCAGGCATGTTACTTTTGAAAGAATAAAGCATGGCACATACGAATTTTGCCAAGGCCAAATAAACTGTTTGTTGCTGTATTTCTCCCAAAGTCACCAGGTGGCATGGGGGACAGTGACAAGGTGTGAAGTGCCAAGAAAAGGTGAAGCAATCTTCTGGCATTCCCCACATCTCTATTGTTCTAGCTTTGGTGCCAACATCCCAAGGATGCATGTGTTTGGATGGCAAGCAGGGTTATTCTGTTGGTGGTGATGTGTGTCTATTGAATTCCAGCCCTGGCACTTTGGCATTTAAGGGTGAGGTACAAATTCTTCTCAAATTGTTGTCTAGATTTAATGTAATTCCAATAAGTCCAGCAAGTTTTTTGTTTGTTTGGTTTTAAGAAACGTTCTACACCAAATATCAAGCCTTATTCTAAAACTAAGGAATTAAGACAATGCAATATTAGTGCCAAAAAGAAAAATCAACCAAGGAAATGGAATAAATATCCCAGAACCATATCCATAGATGAAAAACTGAGTTTTTTCCTTTCTTTTGGGTAGATACCTAGGAGTGGAATTGCTAGATCATATGGTACTTCTATTGGTAGGTCTTTGGGGAACCTCTACATTGTTCTCCGCAGTGGCTGTATTGATTTACATTCCACCAAAGATATAGAAGAAATCCCTTTTCACTACAGCCTCACCAGCACTTATCATTCTTTATTTTTTAATTTGTAGTCATTCTGACTGGGGTTAGGTGGTATCTCATTTTGATTTTGATTTGTATTTCCCTTATGATAAGTGATGTTAACCATTGTTTCATATGCTTTTTGGCCATTTATATGTCTGTTGAGCTCATTTGCCCATCTTTTAATTGGGTTGCTTTTCTTTTTTCAGGTAAACTGTTTGAGTTGCTTGTATATTCTAGTTATCAGTCCCTTATCTGAGGCATAGTTTGCAAATATATTCTCCCATTCCTAGGGTTGTCAATTTACTCTAATTATTGTTTTGTTTTGTTTTGTTTCTGTGCAGAAGCTTTTCAATCTGATGTAATCCCTTGTCTATTTCTGGGATAATAATTCTGTGCTTTGGTGGGTCTTATTTAAGAAGTCTTTGCCTATTCCAGTGTCTCCAAGAGTTTCCCCTGTGTTTTCCACCAGTAGTTTTATAGTTTGAGACCTTAGGTTTAGATCTTTGATCCATTTTAAGTTGATTTTTGTTCATGGGTATAGGTAGGGGTCCAGTTTCATCTTTCTCCAATTTTGTCAGCACCATTTGCTAAAGAGGTTTACCTTTCCTACTGGATTGGTGCCCTTTGTCAAAAGTCAGTTTCCTATTCTTGAATCAGTCTTAGTAACTTGTACATGTCCAGGAATTTGTCCATCTCATCTATAGTAGTTTTTTCTAGTATGTTGGCATATAGTCACATATAGTTTTCTCTCAGATTTTTTTGTATTTCTCTTATGTCCATTGTAACATTACTGGCTTTGCTGCTGATTTTTTCTATAATTTTTTCTCTGTTTTTCTTGATTAGTCTACCTAATGGTTTGTCAATTTTGTTTATCCTTTTAAATATAGCTTTTTGTTTTGCTGATTTTTTGTATAGTTCATTATTCACTATTTCGTTTATTTCAGCATAATCTTTATTATTTTTTTCCTTGTATTTTTGTTGTTGTTGTATTCCAGTTCTGTAAGATGTGAGATCAAGTTAGTTTTTTACCATCTTTCTATTTTTTTTTCTTGTGAGTACTAATTGCAATGACTTATTTCTTATGACTATTTTTGCTGCGTCCCAAAGGTTATGAAAAGTTGTGTGTTCAATGCCATTGTTTTCTATGGATTTTTCCATTTCAGTCTTAATTTTGTCAGTAATTTGAAAGTTGATTA